CACTTTCAAGGTCACCATTAGTTGTTACTTTCATATTAATTATGCATAACTTCAGAACTATTCGAAAGCTAATCGAGAACTATTTGTGTGTAAAATGGAACTACCATGTACAAAGCGTACTGATGATATTTAGAAATAGTAAAACGAATGAGCTAATAGAATCTTAACGCCAACACTTAAAGTTGTGAAATAAAATACACTTATGAACGGTTTTGTCAATTCTACATAATGTTTTTTTTTCAGAGAATAATCCTCATCAATATTCTTCAATATATTGGGAATGTACTGATATTTAAGTTTTGTCATTTACGAGAGACTTTTCATTTTCACGCCTGGAAAAAGAAAGCATTGTAGCACCTAGCTTTGTGTAGCAAATTAAGTGAAATGAAAAATCTCTTTTAATTTACTGTAAGATATCTCTCAAATATATCAGATAAAGTAACAGGTTTTAGTGTATTTTCTTTTGGTCTAAGCATTGTAATGCCATAGTAACATTAATTTGTCTAAACTATTGAAGCAGACAAAATAATCCATTAAGATGCCTTATAATGTAAATTTCTGGCTTTTATAATTGTTCACTCTTTTTAGATCATTATCAAATCTAAAGTTATCCATTTACCAGACAAGTTGATTCATGCATGCATCAAACTATCAACTTGAATAGTACAACCAAACAAGTGTCCATTTATACTCTATTACAATGAACTTTACGCATTAAAGTATGCTTTTCAAGTTTTGTATAATATATATATATATATATATATATATATATATATATATCTAAGTTACTGACCTAGACTTGTCTCACTGAAGTAACTGGAAGCCTTATGCTAACGACCTCACTAATTATTATGATAATTCATTTTTGTCCCTTCTAAAAAAAAAAAGAGTACGAATACTAGAAGCATCATGTCATGTTCACAGTAGTACAATTAAACAAGCGAATTTCACTAGCAGACAGGTAGGTGTATCCTGGCGCCATTGATTTTAGCTGAGTAATCTGTGTAACTGACCAAATGTATTTACATTATATTTACTCAAGTTCCTATTTACTCAAATTACTATCACCCATATATTTTTCTCATTTGCTTCTAACAAATAAATAGACAAAGATTTTTTCAAGGAAAATTATTTCTTATCTATGCAATGATCAACTCATCATTCATGTTTTTTTAGTTAGTTCGTTGATAGTTTTCTAATGAATGAGCTTTCTACGCCTCACCTAAAAAAAAAAAAATAAAAAAATATCACAAATATTATTAGGGTGTGGTTGGTTGGTTGGTTGGTCATCCAAGTTTTGATTAAATGTAAATTATTGATGATAAAATGACAAAAGTGATTGCCACCATTTTGTTGTTTGGTTTTTTTGTCTTTTTTTTATATATACATTATGGTATATAAAACTAATCAGTGACTGGATGGCTGTATAAATCAGATTACATAATATATGTCTATATATATATATATATATATATATATATCACTTTTATTGTGAGCATGAGAATGGAAATCTATATTCAGATTGATTGGGATGTGATAAGAAAACAATGACAGATGTCTATGTATATTTAGAAGTAGTAGTAGTAGTATGCCATATCGTGTATAATAATAATAATAATGATAAGTAAATCTAAACATGAGAGAGATTTAAATAGAAACATTAATGTAATCCCCCCCCCCTCACGAAAAAAAATTCATACTGATATGAACAATACTGTCAATCAGAGTTTGAATTAACGTTAACTAATATCAATGAGCATGGTCTTTTTTTTCCACTTCCTATTGATTAACAACATATATTGATGTAATGTATTCATTCGTTGGTAAAGACCATACAAACCTTATTAATTGCTCAAAAATAACTGCTTACCCATTAAAGACTATTTGAAATATGAATTCTTTTCCATGCGAACTGAAGGGTTTTCATATAGGAAAGCTAAGAAGTTGTAAGGCTTGAAACCCTCTCCCTTAAAGATGTAGAAATGCTCAGTGAATTCACTATAATCCTCAGCAACATACTGTCAGTACTAAATGATTCACTAATAGAGTATACTTGGATTCCAGAGTTGATTTTCTCTCCGAGGCACGAACATAGCACCGTTTAGCCCAAAACGCCACTTGGTTACTGAGTTGAGATACCCAATAGCTTGTACAATCGGACCGGCTTAAATTATTTTTGTAGTAGTCATGTAAATCTCTCTTCAAGTGTAAATGACTGCGACTGATCAATCTGTTTTGTCTAAGTGCATCTTAGATACTTCATGAAACCAATTCTCACTCCTTAATCGTGGTTAATATATACATTTCAGGGCGTGTGAATGGTTAATTACACATAACACTAAATTATCTTCACTCTTAATGAGTTAGTTTATTTTATTTTCTTAGTTTACACTTAAGCGTAACTGCAGAACACGTGACTGCAAGTACACTTCCTCATTTTGAATGTACACAAAAGACAAAAACTAGCAGCTAGCTCGTCAATTACTCTGATTTCACGATCATTAATAAATTAGTATGTTTATTAGGTATCAGCTATCGATTATCTGTGATATATATATACATATATAATCTGACAGGATTTAATTATTATAATTGTTAAACGTCAAAGTAGTTCATTCTACACACACACACACTACTGATGTGATTTATTCCCTCTTGTTACACATATATGCATGAACCGAAGACTAGTAATATGTTGTGATGCTTTAGAAATTCATTGTTTATCCTCAATTTGTAAATTCTCATTGTTTATCTTAATTCAAAAGAATGATATTGAATGAAAAACAATAAAATTCATAAATTCTAACATTTTGGCACAAGTAACCAGTCCGTTCCGTTAATGACAAGTGAAATATGTGTCATCAATATGTTGTTGTATGTCAATTAAATCATTTGTTCAAGTTTATTTGCAATCAATAATTGCCATTATCAGTAAACTTATTTATCTTTATTAAGTGTTCAGGTCAGAATTGTCTATGTGTGAAGAGGTCTACTTTGAGAATCGAATCATTGCATCAAAACTTTTTAATTATTCTAATACTTATGAAATTAGAATCCTTTTACATTGTGAAAGGTTTATGTTTGAGATAACTATTTCAATGAAGATTAAATACAAACATGAAAGTTCAGTCGAGGTATTTCTCTATAAAATAAATTCAAAAATCTAAAATCTAATTACGACTTACGACAGATTGTGTAACTGCTGTAGCAAGCAAATCAGGCAGGCGGAGATATTATACGTGTCCTCCTAATAGGGGGTTGGCTGATATGCTGATTTGTGTTTTTCGGTGCGGTGAAACTTACTGAACTTCGACAAGGCCGACGGTGGGCAGTCTCAAACGCTGGTGTTATATAGCTATCAACCACCGACGCATCTCATTGCGGCGCGTCACCAACATTTTCCCAATGATCAGGGGTTCGAATCCTTTCAGTTCGAGAACTCTATGATTGACTCTCTTAACTAACAGTTGATTGTCCAAGCACAAACTCAGTGGATTAGGTGAATAGCTTTATGGGAGTTTTACTCACCGGCGCACTAATTCAGAATGCTTCCTGTCTGCAATATTATGTATTCGTTTTTTAATGGAGAAACGTTTTTGAGTCCTAGTGAATGCTTTAGATAATATCGACCTGTCACATCGGATGGGTCAGTGACATACGGATTTCCTATAATCTAGTTCAACTTAGTTCGTGAGTATGAAGACAAAAAAAAAACTAGAAAGCTAAAGTAATAAATGCATGGTTAGTCAAAATATTAACCCATGTTAGACATCGATTTATGCGAACTGTAAATTCGCCAACTTGTGTCATTCATTTCAAGAGCTAAAGAAATATTGAATTATTCATGAATCTGTAAAGTATATCTAGATCACAACTATTTGTTATAATATTATAATCTTACCTAACATAATTTTGAATAAAGAGGGAGATTCAGAAAGCTCTTCATCCTCGCGATTACTTCATTAATAAGTGCTAACCTTGAAATGGTGTTAACAAGGTATCAGTGACTGTAGTAAGTTTCTTTGTAAAATGAAAACTACTAAATGGACGACGTTGAAAAAATGTTAAATATTTCATCACTTCGAATGTATGTATTTTCAGTTGTCCAATTCATTTTTAATTATCTAATTTTAAAATCTACCCTGATTGCTTGAATTCCTTCATAGGTTTTAACTAGAAGTAGCCTTCTATCACTGAACAGACGATATCATAATCGGACTATTTCACCACCCCCATATTTAAAAGATAACTAAACATTAGTGTACAGATCGGGGTAGCCATTATTTACTGTCATAAGGCTTAAAATGACACTAGTCTATTAGTAGTAATAAACTATTGGCTAATCGTCCAAAACATAAACAGTTTATTTTGTGACCCTAACATTTTTAAAAGCGTCTTGTAGACGATACCTTTTAACAAAAGAAAATTGTCCTTCGCTTATTGAAATAGTAGTTTTTTTTGGGGTCATGTAGTATGATAACTTGCTTACTAATAATTAGGTAGAAATAAAAACTGTACTCCTATTGGTTGAAAGAGAACCCAATATATTTCAGCTGTTTGGCCCAAACTCGTTTCGTGTATTTTATTCTAACTAACGAACACAATAGTCAGGTAGATAGACATAGGTTTGCAGATTAAAATCATTCACCCACCTCAATCTAAGTAAGAGGAAGAGTGTGGTGATGTACAGAGTTTTTTTTTAAAAAAAATTACTCTCGCACTACAACACAGACAATTGAATGCAAACATAATTATACACTCATTCGTATGTGTGTATGTGTATATGTGTGTATGGACATTTATGTGGTCGTATACACACACATACATACATGTTACTGCAACAAGTTATTCAATTTAAAACAATCACAGTTTAGAATGGATGTATTAATTAATTCAAAAAGAATTGAATGACACATCGGACATTAATCCCAATAATTAAAAATATTTACCTGGGATTTATATTCTTTTGAGGCACAGAATTGAATGTGCGAATTTGTATAACGACTTCTTGATTTTTTAAAAAAAAAATATAATTATGGAATGATCGTTTACATGTAAACAAATTCAAGTCAAATGCATAATGTACAATAATTTACCATTGTATTACATTGTAGTATTACTTTCGATCACATTCTACGATAGTACATTTACTTATACATTAGAACTTGCAGTCACCGATGTAAATAATCCAATTCGTTTGAGAAGTAGACTAATTGAAACAAATCAAGCTTTTCAATTCAATGAGCATGTATTCAATAAAATGCAAGATGATGAAAGAGATTTAACACTTTCTAAAGACATGCCAGTACTTGATGTATTAATATCTTCTGAAAGAGATAAAGATTCATCCAATAGGCTAGATTCGAAATTAGAAGATGAATCTACAAGACCGAGAACGCATAACAATAATGATAATAATAATAATAATAACCGCAATGGTAACCGAAAGAATAAACTAAGTGGACAGCATGCAACAGAAGATGCCAAACTACTTGGTTTATACTGGCCTAATCCTAATGTTGGAAACATATTTGACATTGGATGGGATCCGAATCCACCTAGAGGAAGTAAGTAATATATATATACAGAATATTATTCATGTATAATTCATAACTATTGGAAACTTGTGTAAAAGTGCTTAACTTAAATTGACAGTGCATTATAGGAAACTTTATTTTTTTGACAGATCTTTTATTATTATTATTATTATTATTATTATTATTATTATTATTATTATTATTATTATTGATGTTTGTTTGTTTGACTGATTTTACTGTTTTGTTTTACTACACTGATAAGTTGTTAACTATTGGACCCTGGTTTAGTTTGTTTATGCAGGTCGATTGATCGTGACTAAAGATCACAATGATGAAAGGATTATAAATTTGAAGCTTTCTTGATGACTTGACATTTTTTTCCTCATTACGAGCAGGTTGGTAATGCATCGGAACTGTTGGACTGTTTGACGTTTAAGTATGTTTATACCATAATATCAAACTCTACTCACTTATATTTGTCGCCTATTTGACAATGAATCAAGCATTTCAATGTAGTTGAAGACCAATGGTGATTAAATTTATAGTAAGGCATAAAGTTCAGTCACTAAAAGTTCTAGGAAAATGGGGATAAATACAATTATTATGTATGTTTTATAAATTATGTATCGATCACTAGGTCATGTAAAACGCTTGTAACAATAAAACTAGCTTTGATTAATGCTTGTTTGGAAAATGTAATCAAATATTCCTTGATGATATTCATGATGAGTTAATTTTAGCTTCATATTTTTAAAACACAAATGAAACATTGATCGTCATGATTCATTTTCAAAGTATTTGATTTTGACCAATTCGGTCTCGTGTGCTTTTCTTCAACCCCTCTCGTTTTGACTTTCTAAACTTTTCTCACTGAATCATATTTCTTGAGCATCTTCTAATCCTAACCTCTCCGATTACTACCTCTTCTACTATTGGATTTGAATTGACAATTATATCTCTGTTCTGATAAGGTATGGCAACATGAACTGATGTACATACGTACGAAGTTCTACGTTGCATCTGACTGACTGATTTTCTGATTTTCTGTTTTGACTTTATTATAGCAATCAGTGTTAAGCCTTACAATCATAAGCCTTCTCTCTAATAAAATGATCAAATTGTCATGGTTTTTTTCTAAAAAAAAATCTTATGAGATGATTTGGCCATTTCTGGAAATGAAAATTTGATTGTAACTTCCCTAATGTGTGGGATAATTTCAATTCAGTCAATTCCACTTTTCTCCTAATCAACATCATAATTCCTCTTATCCTGCCTGTTCTTTCTCCACACTCACAGTAACTTACAGTGAAATGATCAGTAAAGTCAGACATTAACCGGTGGTAGACCAATGTGGGCAAAATAAAAATTGTCATGCTTTTGGACAATAACCAGGAAACAGTATAAGATATGATCACTTGTATCATTTCAGTCGGTAATAGAATTTTTAAAATTTAAAATTACAAATAGTGATAAGTTATGTAATAATAATTTTTTGTTGTTGTCTAATAGATCATTCTTGAAAAAAATCCAAAGTATCCTTTTTAAAAACTAGGTAGAATTAGAGGAAAGCAATCTGAATTTCTTGTGGTTGGCGGTTTTTGGCAAGTTAGTTTTTAGTTGAGATGGGGGCGCCAACCGCATGCCCAACCCATTTTCCTTTATCCGGGTTTGGGACCAGCAGTAACCCTGAAGGGTCTACAGGCGGAGTTAAGCAAGGTGAATAGTTAGCGTTAATTTCATGTTTTGAAGAGTAGGTCATGTTCACTGTCCAACCACTGAATCAATAAAGAATTAATAATCAGAAAAACCCATTTGGTTTGTAAACATCACTTAGCTTAATCACATTACATGTTCATCTATATTCACTGTGACGGTTCACCATGTGTCTTCAAAAAAGGCATGAAAGAAGGTTATTCGATACCTAATTCAAGCATCCTGAAGTGAACCGGATCCTTGTAACTTATTTAACAACTAATTAAGAAATATAAAACTCAAATATTATAAAAGAGTCAGTCAATCAGTCAGTTACAACGTATAACGTTGTACGTACGTACATCGGTTCCGGTTGCCATACCCCATTAGCACAGAGACGAAACTGTCAGTTCAAATCCAATAGTGGTTGTAATAGCAGAATTGTCAGCAGTAATGGAGAAGATAAGGGAGCGAAGATGTGATTCGAGAAGCATAATCCAGTGAGATAAGTTTAGAAAGACAAAGGTAGAGGTGTTGACGAATCCAGAAGATTAGGTTTTGAAAGAACACAAAGAGTGGATGCACCTGCGCCACTGCAAACGATTTTGAACCATGTCGTTCAAGGTCTCTAACCATTGGTGACATTCTTCTTGTGGACTCCAACCAGGTAGCCTACATCTACCAACATGACTCAGTCCATTTGTTAGTGATTTCACGAATTTCTGTAATGTTTTGGTCTGGCCTCCACTAGCTTTCTTCTAACCTACTCCTACACCACAAAACATTGCTTTTCAAGGCGGTCGGTGGTTGAGCATTCGTAACACATGTCCCATCCACCACCACTGATGGAGTTTCACTACTTCATCTATTGATCTGTCATACCTACCTAATACTCGTTTCCTGACGACAGCATTGCTTACTCAGTTGTCCCAGGATATACGAAAGAGTTGAAAACATTAGAGAACCAGTTGACTAAACAAACATGAGTCTACCCGTATGCAGTATAGTTCAGATACATTCAGTTTCTTTTAACTTACAATCCTGAACCAAATGAAATCAAAGAACTTTGTCCCAGAATTCCGCCTCTGCCTATTTGTCTACTTTTGAATACAAAGAGTGATAATGAAATTTAACTAATTTCGTATGTTGTACATCTATGCTTCAGAGAAATGATTCGTGCCGCGTTTTTTTCTACTTCAAAGTTCTACGTACAAAGTGTTTTAAAGTTATTCTACTGATAGACAAGTTTACTAGTGTAAATGCCGACGTATTTTAATCAGTCATCATAATATAATTAATTATGAACTAGTTATGGTATTATAGTCTATCTTCCTCACTGAATGGTGTTACACAGATCAATCAACAGTCTAAGTAAACATTATCTCAGGTGGGTGATGGATGAGCTCAACAATATTAGAAAATTTCTCAGCTTTAAAGCACTGTTCATCATTTTCTTTTTTAGTCTATGGATTGGATAAAAGAAAGTTATTTGCAACCGAAATAATTAACATTTATTCATAATTGACAGTGAGGACGGGCCAGAAACGCATGACTGAGTCGCATTTTTATTATGCGCCTTCTTCAGAAACATGGCTAACTTCAACCATAATTCTCATGCTCTATCTGTCAGTTTTTGGTTATATATTCTTTGTTTTAAAAAAAAAACATTTGTATATTTACCTAGGTTTATGTAGAAACATATTAATAACTGAGTCATGAGTATTGTGTATAAGGATATTTAGTTCTAAAGGGAACAGAATAAACACAGAAACTCATGATATCACTAGTTAACTAGGATTGCAAATTTCACCCATTGTAATTCGACTCTGTCTGTCTGGAAGTCTAATGTGAATGAATGTTAATAATAAACATCTTATCTATTGAGGAAATTTATGAATATTTGAACTTATAAGCTTAGTGTGTAACAAACTGGCGATTAAAACGATAGGCGCTATTTTCGAGTTGTGATGGGAGAACGAACAATAGGTTTTAGACGGGGCATTCCATGGCTGGCTACCTGGCTATCTAAATTATCATACTTCTTCAATCAGCCTTATAGTTTTATTGATCGGTGATCGAATAGTGAACACTTGTTTCCTAATACTTGATCCTCTAGTGTTACTTGCCCATCAGTCATTAGAATATCTGTGAATAGTTAAAGTTTTCAATATTTCAAGTTTAAAAAATATGAGATCAGGTCATTTTGTATTCACTTCATGTAAATCACATTAATTGCCACTGACTATTTATAGAAGTAGAACCAAATACGTGAAATGATTACCAACAACCCTAATATCATCTAGTTTAACAAGTTTTGAATCCTTTCTAATTTTAATTTTTAGTAAGCATTCTTTTATTCAATGCCCTCATTTATATCAAGAGAAAAAAATAATAATAAAAGAGCAGTTCATGATTATTGCCGTTTGTTTTTTCGTTTTTTTTTCACTAATGAACATATGGTGACTGAATTATTATTTTTTTGTTGTGTATATGCATGTTTGTTGTTGTTGACTTGCGTGTTCCTGTCAATTTGATGGTTGGCGAATTGACGACCCATTTTGATAAAGGTTTATTATGATCAACATTCTTTCTTTTCTTACGTTTTCAACATGGTTGTCATGGCTTGCTTTGTCACTAATATATACCTCTATATATAAATATATATATATATATATTGGTTAGGGCTATTAATCTCAATTTGATCAACAATAAAACCAACGATTTCAATGACAACCATTAAATGCCAGATTAAATTAAACGCCAGTTGCTATGCCATCATGTGTTCTTATATTAATAACGTGACATGATTATGATAACCTAGATAGAATACGCCTGCACACACGCAACACAACATACATCCGAGTTCAAATGGCACTCTATAAACACTAACCCAAATTAAACTACTTGATAATTAGCTGCTATACAGTATCAAAAAATTACCAACTAGTCTAATGATTTAGGGATGATATGAATATTAAAAATAAATTTAAATAGATTTCACAATGAAATCAATTTAATTAAAGTTCAGTGTATAAAAATTTGTTTCCAGAGTACATTGTTAACTTAATGAACTAAAAATGCTACTTCACTCTGTTTACTATCCTAAGTTAATTTAACAATACTAATAAGAATCACATGTTTTACGATTCAGAGTAAGTATACTTTAAAGTTCGGAGCAAATCAAGGATACATATTAAATACCATCCTAAGACAGCAACTGAGAAATTCACCTGACTTAACTGTTAATCGTGAAATCGTTTTTTTAAGCTATAGGATTCTAGAACCAATTGTTCGATTTGATGCTGATTTAAAAGTGTACATGTACGAATTGAGTTCAG